CGAGGTGGTCTGCCAAAGTATGGGAGGGAAGCCGAGGCTGAGATGCAGCTCCCCTGGCTAGTCTCTTTCCCAAATGGTTACTTTGGCGAGGCTGAGGTGGCGCTCCAAGGAGGTCAGGGCCTCGGGCCGAGGCGAATAGCCGAGTTGGTCGGGATTGCCGTTTACTTAATCACGCTAAGTGTATATGATCAAGAGGCCATCCACCGCTGAGGCAGGTGCGAGGCGTGTGATGCCTCGACTATCCTGATGTGTTTTAGTTTGGTGAGGCATTAAGTTAGGGTGTTCGTCGCTAGTCATGTGCTCTTGTGCCAATTAAAGAATTCGATCTCCACCATACGAACAACCCGGATTTCGAGAAGTATAAATAGAACAGTTCTAAATATATTACAAAAAAATAATTTAATTTCAGATTAAGTGCCCATGTTTGAGAACCAAATTCTCAGAAAAAACTTAATCTGCGCAAATCAGGTACAACCGATTCTGCCTATTTGCGTAGGCTCAGATTGGGTCTGATTTTGGTTCAAGAATGTGAACCTGGCTCTGATACCACTGAAGGGATGAGAGATCCATCATATGGATGGCTGAACACTGTAGGAAGGTTGGGCGAAATTTCAAAAATTTCTCTCTCTCCCATTTGAATTCCCTATTTTAGAAAACTATATTTTCAATGATCATTCTCGAAACAAAACCGGACCAGATCTAAAACCAAAGGGAGGAGAGGGATATACCTGATACGAAGTAGTAGTAACTCCCAATGAAGGTGTTCACGCCCAAGGAAAAAACCAAAACCCGCTTCTATTGAAGATGACACAATGCATAGTGAAGCAGGACCAGCAGGACGGCTCTTCAGCAAGAACCGAATTCTTCAGCAATAATGGATTAAAGGGCTGGTGAGCATGACTTCAGATTGTTTCTTTAGCTAAGAAACAATATCAAGAACTCTTCTTGATTAGTTCCACAGGTAGAGATCGAACTGGGTAGGTATAGTAAGAATAAGGAGAGAATTCTACAGATTGTTGTGTGTAAAACTGAGGAATTTGCCCCCTATTTATAGTCTTCTTTGGATCAGCCTCCTAATCTAATTAGGAGAGACTTTCTATATCCAAATCTGATATTTGCATCTAGACTCTTAAATGGATAAGACTTATCTTATCCTTTCAGCTAATCCTAATCAGATTATAAATCATATCTTGCCCCCTTTTAATTAACTAATTTAAGCCAAATTTGAATTGGGCTTTTGGCCCATTAAGCCTATGTGCTCACTTACCCCTTAACCTGTTGCCCAGTTGGCTCTCTTTGTATGGCGTGAGACCCAAACATTGATCTACACATCAGCCACATCGGTTCATCTAGCCTTTGTTACAAGGTCTAGCCAAATTCACTGTAGGAGACAGTGAACCCCTGAGTCCATCACCATGGGATCTTAATGGGCCCAACATTTACACTAAATGGTCCTTGGGTCCAACCACCTTATGAAAACCCAAGGACTATGGGAGATGCAAGATTAGCCCATCAAGTATTACCCTCAATGGTCTTACACTTAACCTCTCAGCCCATAATAATCAAACACTACCCAACAAGAGAAGACCTCTCCCTCGGCTGCAAATAACAGTGTTGCACTCTCTACTCACATGGATCTCGGGAAATTAAACCTTTTGCAAACATTTTGAAACCATAATATATATATATATATATATATATATATATATATATTTTGCAAAAACAAATTTCAACGTTTGAAATCAACTGCCGGCAGTTTAGGTTTCCATCAAAGAGAGTGCAGCCCTTATCATTCACTTTGTCCGACAAATGGGCTGATTCTGTCACTATGATCACCTACTCAGATGAATTTTCAAACTGTCCCAATATACCCAGGTTTTGACCCCCTCTAAGGATCTCACTAATTGACATATCAAAGACAGCCCAATCCGACACCTAGTGTAGTACCATAATCGAGTCTAGGGGTCAGGTGTAACATTCCAGCTTTGTCCATCTATCTCCTAGGTCTAGGGCAATACTGGAATTTTGGTCTGATTTAGGGTTTCAAGAAAACCCACACTAATTGTACCTCAGGTCTCACCCTGGCAGCTAAGACAAGCCACCCCAACCAACTTGG